TTATAGTAATCACATATTTACGATATGTATAGTAAATGTTTTTCAAACATAATAATATTATATAATAAGTGTTTTAATCAAATAGATTGTTTCAAATTTTCTATATTATACATGACTTTCAAACATGTGTTTGTTTCTTCTTCTATATTTTATTGTTTGTTAGATTAGTATTTCATTTTTAGATAAAGTAATATAAATAAAGCTTGATTAAATATTAGTATAATTTAATTTGCAAAGATAATATAAACTTCGAAGAATTTTTTTGCTAAAAACTAAACTTATAGCTTCATAAATTAATATTATAAAAATTTTATTAAAAAGAAACTTTTTAAACAATTTCTTTTTTTTTAAACAATACAATTTTAAAATTTTACATCGAAATAAATTTATCTAATATATATAACGTGTAAATTTTGTTAAGGTATATAAATATTACATATTAATAATCTGTGATTTTTGTTAATATAATCTGGATGCATTTAACTATTATTGACATATTTCCTTATAAATAATAGAAGATTCCTAAATTTATATCTATTGACATATTTTGCGTGACTAAGTTGGAAGGTGTGGGGTAATTTACCAAAACAAAATTGTTAAGCATATTATAAAATATTATAATGATAATATTATTAGAGAGTTAATGTAACATAACTTTCTAGTAACAGTCCATTTTTAGAAAAATCACACATGAAATCAAGTCATGACTTCTGTTTTAATATATAAGACTAGATTTCGACCCGCACGGTTAATAAGAAAATATTTAAATTTATATTATAAAATTTATCTATAAATAAATATAATTTGATTCTGTATATTATCCAATTTTATAATAATGTTTATGTGACTTATAATATTATTAATGTAAATTTATTTTTGTAACAATATTTGAACAATTTTTTATTATTATATTATTTAATATATAATACTATCCAATTTTTGTATTTTTGTAACAATTTTTATAACATAATTATGTAACATTACTAATTTATATTTTTTTTTTTATTTCTAAACTTGAAATATATGTAAAAAGTAAATTAGTTGGACCTATATAATACATAAACAAAATTTTGGGATATTTTTAAACTTATTTTACATAATTTTAATTTTTTGTTTATAAATAAAAAATGAATTAAAATTTAATTATATTTTATGATATTAAAATTTTAATTAAATAATTTTTGAAACTATATCTTGAAAATATTATAAAAGATTTTGTTAAAAAAAAATTTAAACTATTTATTTCTATTTCAAATAAAAATTAAAGATATGAAAAGATATTATAATGATGTTATGTAAACTTTCATACAATTCTAAGGATAGTCCAAACTAAAATATCACACATGAAGTGAGTCATGACTTCTCTTTTAATATAATAGATGAATACTATTTGGAAAGTAGAAAACGAGTTATGTATTGAAGACACAAAAAATGAAACAATTCGTACTCGGTTTTCTCACCAAAATAATATTTCTTATAAAAATTTAGTTAATAAAAAACAACTTTAATTGGTGTATTTGAAAGGCTCGGAACGATAAATTGTTTAGAAGAATTGATAGAAATCCTTTGGAATTAGCCCGCTATGCGGAGAATGAGTGTCAAGTCTGGTTCCAAGCCAAAGAGCAGATTATAGCGCCATCTCAAGGAAGCATAGATGTTGAAAGCCACATCATAAGTTTGGGAAACATTTGTATGGTAGATGGTTCTTGGATCTCTACAGCTTCGTTCGGTGGATGTGGTTGGGTCTGGAATGATAGTATGGGAAATAGTCAGTTGATGGGTATGCGCAATCTCATTTGGGTGGAATCTGCTTTACACTCTGAGCTTGAAGCACTGCGGTGAGCAATGGAAAATATGCTTTAACATTCGCCATGTCAGAGCTTTGGGACGAACAGCAAGAAAATGATAGCGATGCTCAGGAATCCCCATAACTGGTCAAACTTCTCAACAGAACTGGAAAAGCTCATAATGCTGCGGATTTCCTTCCCAGATTTCAAGATCTTCTATGTTACTAAGACACGGAATGTTGTTGTTGATTTTTTTGCTAAAACTACTCGATCTTTCTATCGAGAACTTTCGTATGTTGGTTGTTCTATTCCGGTCTTGATACCCAGATCACCTCAAGTTTGAGCAATAGATCAGCCTTTTGTTGCAAAAAAAAAAAAAACAACTTTAATATTGTCTTCGTCTGCGACATGTAGTGATATATAGACCAAAGAATGGGTAAACGATGATCGAGCAATTGTATAGACTCGCATCAATTCATAATTTAAAAGTTCCTCTCCTCTATGGACTATCGTCTTGCATTAAAAAGATAACCAACAGCAGCAAATTGGGTGAAAAACTACTAACATTTATGTAATACCCTGAATTGTAATATATGGAAAGGTTTAAGATGATTGGTTTGATTACTTATGTCACTAAAATGCATTTAAATTTTCGTGATCACATCCACAAAGAACTCCATAGTTAAATATACTTAAGCTGGAGTAGTCAAAGGATGGGTGACCTATCGAGAAGTGATATGCGATACCGTGTAAGAATTGAGATGGGTAGCCAGCTCTGATACCATCTGTAACGCCCCGACTGTCTATGGCTAATGGGCCACCCACGTCCGCTCTCTCGACCCGTAGGCCCCATTCCGTTTCAAAGACCAGTCCGTTAATTTTCTAAGGTTCTAGAGTCATATTTACTGAGCCTGCAATCACCACATAATCTTTTCCCGTGTTTTGGCTTCAAACGGAACTGGAAAAGCTCATACTGTTGCGGATTTGCTTCCCAGATTTCAAGATCTTCTATTTTACTTGGACACGGAATGTTGTTGTTGATTTTTTCGCTAAAACTACTCGATCTTTCTATCGAGAACTTTCATATGTTGGTTGTTTTATTCCGGTCTGGAAACCCAGATCACCTCAAGTTTGAGTAATAGATCAGCCTTTTGTTGCAAAAAAAAAAAAAAAGACAACTTTAATATTTTCTTCTCTTTTTTTGTCCACGACATGTAGTGAAATATAGACCAAAGAATGGGTAAACGATGATCGAGCAATTGTATCGACTGACAACAATAATCCTACTTTTTTTGTTCAACAGAAAGGACCATAAATCTGGAGCGGAGACTGAAAAATAATGTAACATGAATACTATTTGGAAAGTAGAAAACGAGTTATGTATTGAAGACACAAAAAATGAAACAATTCGTACTCGGTTTTCTCACCAAAATAATTTTTTTTATAAAAGATTTAGTTAATAAAAAACAACTTTAATTGGTGTATTTGAAAGGCTCGGAACGATAAATTGTTTAGAAGAATTGATAGAGATCCTTTGGAATTAGCCCGCTATGCGGAGAATGAGTGTCAAGTCTGGTTCCAAGTCAAAGAGAAAATTATAGCGCCATCTCAAGGAAGCATAGATGTTGAAAGCCAGATCATAAGTTTGGGAAACATTTGTATGGTAGATGGTTCTTGGATCTCTACAGCTTCGTTCGGTGGATGTGGTTGGGTCTGGAATGATAGTATGGGAAATAGTCAGTTGATGGGTATGCGCAATCTCATTTGGGTGGAATCTGCTTTACACTCTGAGCTTGAAGCACTGCGGTGGGTAATGGAAAATATGCTTTAACATTCGCCATGTCAGAGCTTTGGGACGAACATCAAGAAAATGATAGCGATGCTCAGGAATCCCCATAACTGGTCAAACTTCTCAACAGAACTGGAAAAGCTCATAATGCTGCGGATTTCCTTCCCAGATTTCAAGATCTTCTATGTTACTAAGACACGGAATGTTGTTGTTGATTTTTTTGCTAAAACTACTCGATCTTTCTATCGAGAACTTTCGTATGTTGGTTGTTCTATTCCGGTCTGGATACCCAGATCACCTCAAGTTTGAGC